ACCACTTTCAATGTCTTACTTTAGAAAGCTGGTTTACTAACTTAGAACAAACGCCACTGAATCGTAGCCAACAGTTACCAGCGCCGTACAAACGACTTATTGACGGGATCAAGCAAAACTAACTACGAGAGAACAACTGGAGAACTGACAATTTGACTAACAATAGACGACTGTTTAACTGTGACAACAGACGGATCGAAACGCACCAATCACTGATTACGAGTCTTCATAGCCAATAACATCACGGCTTAACTGACAGACGACCAATAACATCGCGACATATTTGACCAATCAGATCAATAACCAGAGTATAATACCATCAACTGACGTGATGTAACTCACTTTGACTCTGAAGATGACTGCCGCACAGATTGTCGAAACGTCAGTCACTGTCAACAACAACAGTCCTGTTCAGGACTACGTTCACCCGGACGATCAAACTCAACCTTTTGAAACATGAAAGAATTTACTGGATCAAAAATTCGTCCCCTTAACAATCCTACAGTACAATTCGATCGAAACAACACCGGTTAGTATCACTCGAAGCTTAGCTCAAACGGGCAAACAAAGATTGTAGCACCAGATTGGTTCTTATGTATTTCTTTTGTTTGTCAACCTGTCACAGAGCTCCATCCTCTGAGATATTTGTTTTATTTTCTTGTTTTTGCACTGTTTACTAAAACCTTCGTTGCTAAATCACAGTACTTGAAACTAAAATGATGTAATGATTGCCTCAGGTCTCGATATTCCAAAGCACGGTGAGCCCGCATACCCTTTGGATAGTTACGGAGATGGATGGACCGAGGAGCCTGCCCATTAAAGACAATTCCGTTCGTACACAAGTCCACTTCTCAGCTTAATTTGGCTCACCTTCAGAATGGCTCTTCAAACCCTAAAGAAAAAGGAATAGACAATCCCGCTGGGATTGTGCCCGTGGAATCTCCTAACACATATACGGCATTTTAAAAACTACTACCTTACAAGATGAATTGGGGCTCGTCGGAAAAGATACTTTAATTAGGGAAATGGCAGGAGGCTTTGCAATCTTAACTAGTTATCCGGCATTTTAGGTATTCCTGAGCTTAAAATATTTTAGTCACACAAATTCTATGATATTTATTATTGCTTCAAATTGTAGCTTTTTTCTATAGGAATTGTCAGGCACCAAAGTCACTAATGGATGTTATGGGGTTTCTTTAACACCCGGCGTCCACACTAATGTGTTTCCTTTTCGTTTGAAACTGAATGCGCCTTGTTCTCGCGTTCACCCTAATACCATCGAAAATAGCGAGCGCTGTTGCCATTACAACCACCGTTCAAAAGTGTTTTGTCATTACAGTCATAAATTTCTTTTCCAGCGTCTACCAAAAGAGAATTTTAAGATGGTCGATGAAGGGATGTTGTCGAGTGAATAGTTTGTGACTAGACAGTATCGCCTTATTCGTTAGTGCGGACTGAACTTATTGAACTGGCCCCAGTCGTCAAAAGGGGGATAACGCTATCCACAAGATGAATATCTATTCCTTTGGATAGAGCAATTAGCTTCCCTTATACTTATCCTCTGGATAGAGGACATAGATATTTATTCGGTGGATGGCGCTATCCAACGTTTAAGCGATAGATCTTTTGACAGATGTGGGCTTAATACCCTGGCCTTTGTGTTAATGTGAGGCTGAGGTTGACCTCGTTTTGGTACAAACCTCCACTGTTTTCTCATAGATATTATGCTTGAAAAATACTAGTTAGCAAAAGAAGAACACGATTCACATAAGAAAGCTGGAGGTGCTGCATCAAAACAAGGTCAACTTCAGCCTCATTTCCATCTATAACTGTAGAAGTGCTATGTTCCTTGCTGAAACTGTCAGCAGAGAGACGGTTACAAGATAAATGAGATCAGGGCTTGAAATTTGTTCGAAGCATTCGGTTTAGGCGATGGATTTTCGCCCTTATTGAACTCCGCCCAATTCAATCATGGCACACCCAAGATGACCTAGGAGCCTACAGGCTTTGGATACACCAAGAATGAATCTGCCCGAGAACAATCCTCAAAAGACTGACACAATCAGCCTTTGGTATAAGAAACACTGTATGCGCTCATATCCGCTGGCTGTTCAAATTTGTGGGATCTCCGTGATATGGAGATTTCACCTTAAGCTGGAAAATATACGTGCAAATGTAAAATATAAATACACCAGAAATGTTTATTGCTCAGAAACACAAGTGTACAATTTATTTTCTTACTCGTGTTAAGTGTGATATTAAATGAACTAAGCTTTTTCTTCTTTTTTGTCTTAATTTGTCTTATTTGGCTCGTATAATATTTGCATTACCTAGTTTTAGCTAAGGTGAAGAGAAACCACGATTTCCTTTGCCATTATTGCAATGCGCTGAGGACTGAATGAAACCCTTTTTTTAATGCGGACAACTGATACTATAGCAGAAAATGCTTACGTATATTATCAGTCTATTTTAACAAGTAACAAGGTGCTGGTTCTGAAATATCCAGACTCAGCAACGTTGGGCAAACACTCTGCTATAAGTTATCGAGCCCCAGTCATATATAAGATTTGCTCACTTTAACACGTTTAATTTGTTATATCCGTTTAGTTATGTTTGTAATGTAAGCACAGCTTTGCAAGTCATTTTTGGAATAAACGTCACTTCACATTATTTATTGACATTGTCTCTGTCTTAGTGATTTTTTGCAATAAGTTCCGTTGGATCCTTCTGACTGTTCTTGCGAGGTGCTACCTTGCTCCAATTCAAACAGATATCAACAAGAAACAATATCCACTGGTTTAGGGACATAGAAGGCATTTGAAACATTTCGGAATAGACCATAAACTGAAGTCTGTTTTAAAATTCCTCCGCAGGGTGATGTGATCTTTTTACCACCACCCTCTGGATTGCGCTACAAGTCAGGAATTGTGTCGCTCTTAGTCTGCGTAACTAGCGTCGCTCGTATTAAAAATAGCCAACTGGTTGCCTCTTGCCAGTTGGGGTTTTTAATCCAGTCAGATGTTGTATTTGAATTATTAATTCAGTAAGTATTTAAGTGGAGCGCCTGTAAACTAGCTGGATATGCTAAGTGCACCCTCAGATTTTACCAGCTTTACCAGCTTTTTCTGGACACAGGCCTGCCCAGAGGGAATGGGCACGAACGGGGCTCACAGGTCCCATGCAAGGTGCGTTCCCTACCCAATCCCACAACCCGTAGAGGTTGGCCACACCATCAGCGTCTACGTCCCCTACTCTTTTCGAACAGTGGTGTGGGTTCTTTTACGTCTTACATGAACAGATCAGTGAAACAAGCCTTTATCTTTATTTACTTTTGAGGGTGGATTTCCACTATTGCAAAATTGTTACGCCTTTATACGCACGTTTAAATTTTACAAGCGTAAATAAGACGTAGGCAATGTATGAAAGGTCGCACCTTACACGTAGAAGTTGAACCTCGCTCAAAGTTTACTTTTAAGCGCGGCCTTTCATACATTTCTTCTATATTATTTACGCAAGTAAAATTTACGTGCGTGCAGGCGTAAGAATTTCTCGACAATGGAAATCCACCTTAAGGAGGGCCGGATACGATGATTTGTGTCAATTGGTAAGCACCCCTGGTCTTTAGCACTGGTTCAACTGAGTATTTAACTTTTTTGTTTGCTTTTTTGTTTTGTTTAGTTAAGTAATGTTTCAAACCGTTATTTTCCTACATACAATAGAAACGGGTGTATAACCCGGCTATGCCTGCCTGTCCTACGTGGGGAGGGGCAGGGGGAAGACGGGAGCCGAGCGAATTAAATGACAATGCAATTTTTTTCTTAGAAAATAAAGGGGGAAATGGCTATGGTTCTGATCGAAAATTGTTAATATAAGCCATTCTTTAACACATAAAATTGACAAAATTAGAAGAAAAAGACGAAAAAGTAGACATTTAAAACCTGACCAAGTCCGCTCCTAACCTGACGCAACATTTGGTGGCCGCGCGTTTATTTCAGCTACTGGGAACAAGAATACGAAAATTTCAAAGATGGCGCGTGGAAGGAGATGTACTTTAATTGTGGCATGTGCTTTGTGTTTTCAAAGTTTGTAGCCGTTATTTTCATACTTTACGAGGGATTTACTTAAATTGACGTAAGTTCTTTGTTGCAAAACTATTTTGAAGTCATATACCGTAACTAGTGAGTCGCGATCGTCAATTTTCAATGTGATGCTGGATAGATTTTATTTTAAGCTATAATCTTCATCCAGGCAGCAGTATTTTCGTGTCTCGAATCCCCCCTCAGTAACAATAAGCGACCCAAAAGTGAAAAATATTATAAATTAATGTTTTAATGACTCAGTCAGCTCCAAGCTTGCCTCATGACCCCAACAACCCAATCCCCCCCTCCGGGCATGTTCCTGTTGTAGGGTCTTTGTTGTAAAACGTTTACTCCAGGCTAGGAAATTTTTTATTGTTTAATTCAATACCTTCTACCACTTTTAAAAAGAAAAATCTATATTTTCTCATAAGGAGTAATCATGATAAAATTAACACTGACAACTTAATTATTAAAGAAACATTTGATAACTCATAACTGCAGGTTTTATTACAATTATAATGGCAGGGGGTTTTGGCAGAGCACCGTTTTTTGCAGAATGCCAAATGTCTGTGAAGATTAGTGATTAGGGTTAGGAAAGTGAACCAGGTTCTAGTTAGGGTCACTACCCTAAGTACTATACAGAGCAAACCGACCTGAAACTTGATTCACTCAGTTTCCTAACCGTAATCAGTAATCTTCGTAGTCGTTCAGTGTTCTGAAAAATACCCCTGCTGTCAGAATAGGTTCTGGCCTTACTGAACACTAATCAGTGAAAGCTTAATAATGGCCACTGCAAAGGAAAGAGAAGAGCAATCTTTTGAATAGAAAAGACCTTGAGGGCCAGATTGGGATGCTTTGCACAGAATTTTTATGAAGTTGGTCATGCTTCTAAGTTTTCATAACTAGGAACTTTTAATAGACATGTTTGTTTTCTTTAGTCAACAGTTTGGAGATGAGGTGTGGATCACTGTAACTGCAGTTATAACAGCAAGGTAAAAAATGAATCAAAAATTGAAAAAAATGGAAATGTATGCTCAACATGATGATGTTTTGAACTCCTTTCATTATTAAGATTCCTTAACTAGCCAGTACATTTTACAGTCCTAGGAAGGGTACTCCAGACTTGTGATGGGGATGATCGAATGGGGGCAAAAATCAAAACCCAAATAAATTCCTAGGGCCTTCAAAAAAACTCAAAAAAACTGCTGGACCAAAACTTAACCCCCCCCAAAAAAATCCCATGCCGAATTTACGAGCCTTAAAAATTTCAAGAAAACATTAAATGATATAACACAAAAAATAAGTTTTTAAAAACAAGTTTGGATGTACTTTATTTGCTGAAATATGCAGGCACTACCACCAAGCTTCAGATTGTTTTGAATAACCAAAACAATCCCTTCTTAAATCAAGCCACCCAACAAATACTTGACAAAATTTCCTACTAAAGAAAATCCGGGAATCAAAAATTTCAAACCCATTTAACAATCCTTTGATCATCCCTGTCACTTGAAATCCGGAGTGGGATTCAAATGGACAGGATTCCACCTGAATCCTGGCTAATTTTTTACCTGGATATAACATAAAGCACCTGCAAGTGTTTCCACTGTCCACTGGATGGGATGCTACTCTATTGTGAGGTTACCACCCCCCATCCCCCTCCCCCTGACAGTAAGGTGTATGTCATGGAAGAGAGACATAGTGAAGTAAAGATGGCAGTTAGGCTTGAACCCCAGCTCTACTCTGATCAAACGTTTTAAGGACCCGTCCTAACCCTCACCAAATGGCCACCACACCTCCATGTTTTACATTCATCATTCATGTATTTTTGCCCTACATAAGACTTTTCAGGCTAGCTATCTAATGTAATTTATGTTGTCATATTTCCTTAAGAGTAACAAATAGCCAGTAAAGTTGATATCTGTAAATGATAATTAGAAGTTTGTCTTTTGATCAATAATGAAATACTTTTGGCATTTGCAATGAAGCAGGCTGGGTAGCTAGGTTTGTGGCCATCTTGTTTGAGAAGGGGCCACATGCTATTATTAATGGCCAATAGTGTCGGAGTACACGTTTTCAAGCATGAGTGCTCATTTAACAAAATGGTCCTGGTTTGTTCTGTTCTACTATAACAAACACTACTTAACTTAAATACATTATAATGTCATTGGTAAAAAGAAATTTTATTATGTTAAGTTTTTTAATGTTTCTTCCAGATCAGATGCTATATGCAGACAGGACCAGCACTTCAGCTGCCAGAATTAAGGGTTTATCTTCAGTAATGTGAGTGCTGTATGTTTTGTTTTGTAATCCAGCTCTAAACTAGAGTGAACCAGATACACAGGGCTGTTGGACAGCTTGTTCAAAGTGATCGATCAAACTAATCCAGGAAGTTTAAAAAAAAGTTGCAAATGTACACAGTTATTTCATTTTCAGGTTTGCATGTATACTGCACTATAGGGGGGAACTGCTAGACATTTATTAGGTTTCATTACAACAGAAAAATCACTTTTCCCAGAAAGAAAATGCCATTAAAAAAATCGGTGTTTATCGGTTTTCACTGCAACAGAAAAATCACTTTTGCCAGAAAAAAAATTCCATGCCTAAAACAAATATGTTAAAACATTTTTGTTACTGCTTAATTTCACCACAAATATTTGGTAGCTTCATGGAAATTAAGAGTGATCCTTAATTATTTTTGTGGACAGATTGAGAAGATCATCAATATTTTCATGATAAATTTGTAGCCTAGTCTGTAAAATATTGTGTAAAGAGGACTGTCAGCAATTAAGCAACTGGCATTCAATGCTGGTACTTCAATTTTCTAGCACCAGGCAATTTAACTCATTCGCCCCTGAACCACCCATTACTGCCCATGCGGATTCTCGTCCCTTGTACCAATTGTTTGGTTCCAGAAATATCCCACGGAAGGGATTTGCTAAAATTTTTGCACACCCCCTGGAAATATTGCTAACTCTGATTGAAGTGAACAAATAAGTAGTTTTGTTCACTAGGGTGCCAAATTTTGTGAGTTTCATGTATTTTCTGTTGAATTCTATAGCAGATAAGCAAATTGCTTATGCAAACTGTTATAAATGTGCTCAAGTTACGAACAATTTTTGTGAGTTGTTGAATTCTACAACAGACAACAGATAAGCGAATTCTGAAGAAATTGTTGAAAAGTTCTTGGCCACACGCAAATGAAATGCAAGATGTGTGGTTTAAGTCATGTCAGGAGTAGCCTTTCCATCCATACCAGAATGAGCATTATTCCGTCCATGCCAGGAGACCAGAGAAAAATGCAAAAAACCATGTAACATTGACCCGAAAATTCGCATGAAATCTTGTTTCACTGCCCACCTACTTTCCTTTCATCTAATCCTAAGATCCTAAAAGCTTTCCTAAAACTTTTTCCAACCAAACTTAAGTCTACTAAATGGCCAGCAAAAGAAAAAAAAGAGGCAAGGAATTGGAACTATTAAGAGGGGAGGGGAGAAAGCGAAAAGTAAAATTCAAGACTGCTATGTCACTTTTAAACCCAAAAACTATCTGAAATTGTGCTTTCTGGGCATGACTGAACTTTGCAAGCTAATACCTGTCAACAGCTCTGTTGTAAGTTAAGCTTGATCTTTATAGCCAGACAGTGACTAGAAAACCACTCGACTAGCTTTTAAACGCGTCTTTTGGCAAAATTCCCAGGGGTGACGTGAATGGGCTAACTAAACTCTTATAGTTGTCTGTTAACTTTCAACTGAAATTTTAGACATTTCACACTAATGTTTCCTATGGCAGAGCTGACACACTGGGAAATGTGGTTACAGACAACCAACACTCACAACATTCTGTTTGGTCTTAAATAAGATTATTGATAAGATTGCTCAATTTGCAAGCATGCAGTTTTTAGTGAAGTAACTAAAACCTTGATCATTACGTTTTCTCCTGGATTAGTATAAATTTACTTTGTGCAGCTGCCTATCAGTATATACAGTCTAAGCTCTCCTTACGGACACCTCTCTATTACAGACAGTTTGTTTGGTCCAAGAAATGCCAAAAATCATACATTCCCTACCTCTATAATACGGACACCTCTGTAAAGTGGACACTTGGTTCTGTCCGTTTGGTGTCCGTATTAAAGAGTTTTCACTGTGCTATTATTTTTATCAAAAGCCAAGTTCTGCTAAGATTTAGATTATTACCTGAGTGAGTTAGTACAGATATGCATTTATTAACCCTCAAGAATCAGATTCTTTACCGAGTTATTGACTCAGAATGACAGAATATCTTACTTTTACAGTGCAAACTTCTAAGTGGCATATGATAGACAGATTAACTGACTGTCAAATAGTGTTCGGTGATGTTCTAGATGGAAAAAAGCCTCTCCTGACTATAAAAATATCGCTGTATATGCATGGTCGCCAAATTGGATTTTTCGTAAGGGTTTCAGTAGTCGACAAGTTTGGTCCAAAATTTTGAATTTCTTCCTTGCTTGTATTTGGGAAAAATAGGCCTAAGAATTGTGTTTGGTGATGTTTTGGATAGAAAATAAACCTTTCCAGACTATAAAAAGATTAATTTTATATGGTTGCCAAATTTGATTATTTTCTAAGGGCTTTAATTATTAGTGCATGGTTTTGGTCAATAGTTTGAATTTTCTTCATGTTTCTTTTTTTGTGAAAAAGGCCTAGAAAAAGTCTTTGGATGTGTTCTGAATAGAAAACAAGCCTTTCTCAGGATGCAAAGAAAGTCATTTTTACAGCTTGCCATTAGGGCAAGCTGAAACGAGCATTTACTAGCCCAAACATCATTTCAACTAACCCCCAACATTTTTTGATGAACAGAATTGGTTTCACAGTTCTTCTGTAAGTTGAATTCCTCAAAATACTTCACTTGCCCATCGGGCAAGTTAAGAACAGATTCACTAGCCCGATAGCAAAATCCACTAGCCGCAAGCTATCGGACACTACTTTCTTTGCACACTGCTTTCTAGACTATACAAGTAACCGTTTTAGACTGTCGCCAAATTTGATTTTTCTAAAAGGGTTTAGTCCATGATTTTGGTCAAAAATTTGAAATTTCTTCTTGGTTTGTATTTGGGCAAAACAGGCCTAGAAACTGTGTGTGGTGATGTTTTGGATAGAAAACAAGCCTTTCCAGGCTATAAAAATGTCGATTTTACATGGTCGTCACATTGGATTTTTCCTAAGGGGTTAATCCATGATTTTGGTCAAAAATTTGAATTTTTTTTGGTTGTTTCTCTTGGGCAAAATAGGGTTAGCAATAGTGTTTGGTGATGTTCTGGATAGAAATCAAGCCTTTCCAGCCTATAATAATATTGATCTATATGGTCGCCAAATTGGATTTTTCTAAGGGGTTATTAGTCCATGAGTTTGGTAAAAAATTTGAAATTTCTTCTTTGCTTGTATCTGGGCAAAATAGTCCTAGAAATTGTGTTTGGGGGTGTTTTGGATAGAAATCAAGCCTTTCCAGACTACAAAATGTATAAAAATGTCAATTTTACATGCTCGCCAAATTGGATTTGTCCTAAGGGGTTAGTCCATGATTTTTGTCAAGAATTTGAAATGTTTTTTGTTGTTTCTCTTAGTGCAAAATAGGCTTAGGAATAGTTTTTTTGTTGATGTTATGGATAGAAGACAAGCCTTTCCAGACTATAAAAATGTTGATTTTACATGGTTGCTAAATTGGTTTTTGCCTAAGGGGTTAGTCCACGATGTTTGTCAAAAATTCAAATTTCTTTATTGTTCCTGTATTAGTAAGATAGGCTTGGAAAAATTATGTGGTACCTAATGTTGTCATAAAAAACAATCCTTTCCAGACTATAGCAATATGGATTTTACATGGTCGCCAAATTGGGTTTTTCCTACGGGGTTAGCTTATGATTTTGGTCAGTTTGACCACTTTTGATTTATTCACATTCTTTTGTGCAGATTTAATCCAATTAAAAGCCAGCTGGAAACTGTTCTTGACTTCTGATTGGTTAATTTCTGCATGAGAGAGTGTGAATTAATTAAAGGACGTCACACTTTTGGGTTCCTTGCTGTAGTGACTTCATGATGTGAATTATTGCAATTGAACTCGTGCAGCTTGTTTAAAGCAAGACTGACGCACAGTTTCATCAGCTTTAGGTGGCCATACCTGGCCTAATTTAACACAAATTCAAAACTGCTTCAAATTTAATGTCACTGTAAATTAAAGATACAGTACCGTTCGATTCGCGATTCTCGATTCCTGCGCGAGTAGAGAATCGAGAATCGAGTCGAGGATCGAGTCTTGCAGGACACAAAACAAAAGATTCACCCATGACTGATTTCTCGATAATTCGTACGGCTGTAACACAACGCGGCATGGTTATACAGTCGATTCCCGATAACTCGAACCCTCACTAACTCGAACCTCGCGCTAACTCGAACCAAAATCGATTTCCCCTGGATTTCCGTCATACATTCACTGTACTTTTACGCTCGGTAACTCTAACCCCACGATAACTCGAACTCTCGGTAACTCGAACCACTTTTCGTTTCCCCTCAGGTCATTTTCTATATGATTTTACCCTTGATAACTCGAACCATGTTTTGAGCCCTTAAAAAGTCGGGAAAAAAGCCGTTCGACACATAGAATTTTGGATTTCCTATTGACGTGTTGTAGGAATATAGTTTACTAGTGGAGGCTAATGTTGATGGTCACAGGCTAACGTGAAGCAGCTTTACTTCTCAAAACAGTGAAACGCATGCCCCCTATTTAGGCCATGTTTTGTTACGTTTCGCTCTGATTTATAATCTAGAAGTATCTTTTAATTTTCACTCGACATTTCTACAATTAAATGTGATTAAAATGTTCACAGTGCAGTAAAAACTGTTTTTTACCGTACTCTCGGCTTTTTTCTTCGAGCTCCCGATAACTCGAACTCCGGATATACCTCGCACTTTTTTCGATTTCCCTTGAGGGTTCGAGTTATCGGAAGTCGAAAGTATTCGTGCAAGCGACTGTATACTCGAAACAAGACCAATTCAGGTTATAAAGCGAATGTTTCTTTAAGGACATTTCAAATGCCAGCTCCAAATGCATACGAACAGTGCATACTCGCGTACAAGCAACAGCATGTTTATTTTGTAACGTCAAACGATTCTGGGCTTATCCTGTCGCCTTGCTTGATAAAGAACAGCCGTAACATACACGTCCGGTCCGTAACATGACTAATATTTTGCTCTGAAATTGCGTTCGCATGATCCATGAAAACTTTTGAGAAA